AACAACCATTTTGAGGACTACTCACTAACATCTCGAAACGACACGGATAGGCTGGGAATCTCGACAAAGGCGAAAGGCTGTCGAAGGTTAAGAAGCCAAGGTTAGAAAAGGTAAATACAGGAAACTATGTATAAAAATAAAAGTAAGTAGGAAGGAAATAAGTTCTTGAGGGATCAATATTGCTTGGAATCATTTTTACTAGCGCGCGTTGAGTTTCAATGGAGTTCGTTGCTTTAATTCATTCATTGTGTGCGGGCTGAGATACTGCCCGGGCGCCCAGACCGAAGCAGGTGGTTTTATTAAGGGACCACCCCCGAGCCTTTGACTTGGAGTCTAATCCGCAAGGCAGCGGAGCAGCGTCAGGAGCTGCATTCCCATGGTTGCCGGTGACCCCTATGGGTTCATACGCCATTTGATCCGATTGGAAACTGGAGCCCATGTACCCCATGGTAACTGCTTTTAGTTTAACCGCTATCCAGAAAACCTTCCTGACATGGTAGGACCTGTAGAGACAGAGTCCCAGTCAGTTCAGCTTGTTGGGTCATTGCGGTATTCAAGCCCGACCACCACGACAAGGTAGCAGTTATCGGCCGGGCCTTCTGTATAACTCTTTTGTGTAACTCTTCTGTATAACTTTGTGTAGTATGCAAAGTGTGATAAACTTTGACTGCTATACTTCTATACAAAGTTCGATATTGAAACAGTCAGTCACTTCTCCCTCTTGATATAAGTAAAAAACTTGGTCACTGTGGTAGAGTATAACTTCATTATGGATAAGATTTTATTTTGATAAATCACACAGTGGTGTTATACAGTAATATTAACTGATGACCATATTTCGAGCACAACTTATTTCCTCTCATAAACATATCAAATTACTCACACAACTTTCTTGCTTCACTATGTGCACGAGTGAAATTGATGATAAGACATTTGAATAAAAATCAATATGGGGTAATGTACATTCAGAAATAATAATATCAGTGTTATCAATCAAACACAATCAGATGGGAAATAAGACGAGTGTTTTTATAGTCACAATAAGTAACTTGTTAGAATGCTATGATGTGTTTGATTTGAAATAGAATTTTGAGATTATTTATTATCCCCCTCTGATTTGACTGGCTGACTGGTGGTAATAATATCTTCCATGCATATTTCTGGTATTTGCATTGGGTCATTTCTGTTGGATGTGCTGTGTTAGGTGTAGACTCGATGATCCAGGATTCAGCAATGAATCTCTGTCTCAGCCTACATAGATTACTTTTAAGAATTTTAACCCTCTCCCACTCACCCTATTGTGTGGTTGTGTGTTAATGCATGCAGTACAATTGATGAGCTTTTTTCCAAATTACTTATCTTCTCGGGGTCAAGCACTCTTACCTTAGCTAAATTCTTATGTTCTGATAATCTCACAACCTCCGATCTACTAGTTTGACCTATGTGGTTGACCTCACTCACAGTCATTGCAAGGTATTTTGTAAATAATATTATTTTGTCTAATTGGGTCCACCGGGTTTTTTTGGCTACAGAGCTTGTCCTACCTTAGTGAGTTTGTAGGTTTAAATGCTACTCTAATTCCTGTTTTATTGAGAATCCTACATAGGGTCTCAGATGTCTCCTCCTTATATGATATAACAGTAGATGCCTAATATTCTCTCTTATTTATGTTATCATTATTAGTTTCACAAGCTATCGCCTGATTTCATATGTGACACTGACAGCGAACTGTGACTGTTCACATGTGAAGATTAGTCAATCGAGGAAGACAAAAAGGGAATAATTACCGTCGAAGCTGCAGAATGTGGCGTGATGCTTTCAGTGAACAACAACAGTCACCTTGAAAGTGCCAATGTAGCAGTGAGAAATGGTAATAACAATGTAGGTAACGTTCCTTCTAAAAGTCCCTAGCAGTTACTAATAATGTTTGCTTTCTGATGTTCAACAACGATACCGGGGGTTAAGAACAGTCGCCTTACTCATCCTGTTTTAAGACTCGTCAGTTGAATGTATCTCTGTCGTCTCCAGTGTCTGATGATGCTCCTCTACTGAGATTCGAATTCAGCCACCCCAATCGTAAGCAGTAAACCTGCTTGAAGAATCAAGATGTTTCAACTAATCGACAGTTTCAGAGTCGATTGAAATGACTCATTCATATGGTAAATACAAAGTTCCACCGCCGGTTGGTCGATTGTGTATATTCAGAAATTCCAACACGTCTAAACTACACTTAAAGTATGTGATATTTCAATGCTCGATTGTCGTATCTCTGGCAGGGCTGGGCGGAGAAATCATCTAATTTCTCACTTTGACCAAACCATCGTAACATAGGATAATGATAATAATACTCGGTGACGTTGTAAAGACGGCTGGGATATGTGTTTCACACACCGAGCAATTGCTTTTCTCGACAAGCAATCGTAGCTGATATAGAATAGAGTTGGAAAATAGTTAACGAAAAGGGAGGCGGGTGTGCCAAATCAAAACATATCATCAACCCATGAAACATCTGACAGGAGATATGACTCACCCACGTCGGTTGGAGTCCTCAAGATTCGAAGAACCCATGTCTAGAGACTATTAGTGATATAGTTGAAAATCGTTCTCAACCAAACATGGCTTCATCAGAGAATGAAATCCACAACAGTTAGTTTAAGCCAGCCAAGTAAGAAGGTGTAGATTTCCTGGTTGAGGTCCTCGGGACGGTAAAAACTAATGGTTGGAAACAATTGGTGATATGGCTCAAATTCATCGTTCTCAATGGCTGGTGAAGATGCATCCACTCCTTGTGACTTATGATTTCCAATGAAACTGTTTTGTTCTTCGTTACTACTATTCCTTTGTCTCATCTCACACCTCTGTTTACTGTCTCTATTATGCATTTATTTTACTTTCTTCTTTTGCTTTGTATGTTAAATTGAGAGAGTGTGGCAACTTGAACTTCCACACATATGTGCAAAGTTCTATATCGAAAACAGACAGATATGAAGGAGATCACTAAAGATTGTGAATGCATTAACGCCATTTTGAAGTGACTGACCGGTTTCAACATAGGACTTTGAACCGATGTGCAACAGTTCGAATCATCACATCCGATGCAGCACACAAAGCAAGAGAAGAAACTAAAAGAAATATAAAACAGAGATATGAGTTAAAAAGAATAGTAATATCGAAGAACAATATAGTTTTATTGCGTATTTGCAATTAATAGTGTTCTCTAAGCTGATTGGTTTAGTTGCGGAGCTTTCGTTGTCTTTTTGGACGACATCTTCAGCGGAGTATTTAGCATAAAGTCAACTGATTTAAAATCTCCATGAATGGTGATACAATTGCGTCTCCTGGTGACCAAACATCTTTACATATGTATGTAAACGGTCAGTACATATGTGAAGATGGTTGGTCACCAGGAGACGCAATTGTATCACCATTCATGGAGATTTTAAATCAGTTGACTTTATGCTAAATACTCCGCTGAAGATGTCGTCCAAAAAGACAACGAAAGCTCCGCAACTAAACCAATCAGCTTAGAGAACACTATTAATTGCAAATCATCCACCTGAGTTGCAAATCTTTTCTATTATTTTATTGCGTATTATTACTTCCAAGAAGTGGATGTCTGTCTATCTGTCTGTTTACGACATAGAACTTTGCACATATGTGTGGAAGTTCAAGTTGCCACACTCTTTCAATTTAACATACAAAGCAAAAGAAGAAAGTAAAATAAATGCATAATAGAGACAGTAAACAGAGGTGTGAGATGAGACAAAGGAATAGTAGTAACGAAGAACAAAACAGTTTCATTGGAAATCATAAGTCACAAGGAGTGGATGCATCTTCACCAGCCATTGAGAACGATGAATTTGAGCCATATCACCAATTGTTTCCAACCATTAGTTTTTACCGTCCCGAGGACCCCAACCAGTAAGGAAGTCTACACCTTCCTACGTGGCTTAGATCAACTGTTGTGGATTTCACTGACTGGTGAGGCCAAGTTTTCGTTTGACCGCCGCTAGCTTTTTTCCAGTCTGACCCTATATCCGCTAACATTGCTCGTCGAGGGAGGCGATGACTTCGCATATGTAACACATGTCCTAACCATCTCAGTCTTTGTAACTTCACGACTTCGTCGATTGATTTCCCCTGTTTACCTAGAACTCGACGCCTAACTTCAATGTTGCTCACCTTATTGCACCACTTCACACGGGAAAAAGAGCGCAGGCACCTATGATCAAGGACAGCTAGTCTTTTCATGTCTTCCACTCTCAGTGGCCAGGTCTCACAACCATAAAGGAGGACGGAGCGGACTGATGAGCAGTACACCCGCCCTTTGGTCGATAGTCAAACATCTTGTCTACGCCAGAGTCGGCGTAAACTAACAAATGAGAAACGAACCCCCTGTATTCGTGCTGAGATTTCGTCAGAGACCAACCCGTTCGCACTGGCTGATGGTACTTCCCAAATAAGTGAAGCGGTCAATGTGCTCCACCAACCACTTCACTTCCTATTTTTAAACTAGGCGTCGATGTAGTCCAGTCCTGTAACATCATCTTGCATTTGGTGGGAGCGAATCGCATGCCAAACATTCGTAAATTGCGGCTCAAGGTGTTTAGAAGACTCTGCATTTTGTCAGCGTCTTCGCCTAGAAGGGCTATATCGTCTGCATATTCTAAGTCAACGAGGTTATTCCCTGGTAGTAAGTCAATCCCTGAGTCGCTGAAGTCACTTAGGGTTAAGTCCATTAACACATCTATGATGAAGTTGAATAGAAAAGGGGATAATGGACATCCTTGACGGACACCACTAGTCGTCACCAGTAGCGATGACAGCTCGCCGTAAGCCCTCACCTGGCTGTATGAGTACGAGTAGAGTGGCTTGATCAGTGCAATGTATTTTCTCGACATTCCCTTTACAGCCAAGCATCGCCAGAGAAGCTCTCGGTCAATAGAATCGAATTCCACCTTTAGGTCAAGAAATATAATATATCCAGTAAACCGTGATATATACAGCCATTTAGTCAGTCTGAATGAAAAGTCGAACACTTGAGGTGAATCAATCAATGGTGTATTAACACAGGATAGATAATGCATGTGAATCGCAGTTCATATATAAAAAGAACACATGATTCATTAGCCAAATGAGTAAGTGAGTGGAAATAATATTACAATATTACAATAATAGCAATATTAGTTAGTAAAAGAAAAAAGATATATCCATTTTTTTCATATTTTTTTTTTAAAAAATCCACTTGAAGTTAATCATTAAATATTAAGTAACTGATTAACGTTTTTGTGTAAAAATAATGATACTACTAATAAGTAATAACAGTAATATATAAATATTTGTACAAAGATATCGCATCAAAAAAAGAGAAAATATTCAAAAAGAAAAAGTATTTTAACAATAAAATAATTCGTAATAAATGATAACAAGCACCACGGCAAGGGCATAGAGCAACACATACACACACACAGAAGGCGCACACGCACAGACAATCAAACACGATCACGTATGATGTCAGCATGGTGATACAAAGAGTTTCGTGTTAGGCGGAGGGGGTTAGGGGGAAGGGGGATTTAAAGCACGAACACATACACACACACACGCTCATACAGACATAAATCTCCTCTCAGGAGATTCCGCTTTATATTCCTTTTCCAAGTCCGCGCCTTACCCAAGATTAAACAATGAAAGCAGATGATCACAAGCATTTCATAGAAAATAGAAACAGCAAACATGAAATCTAGAGAAATACTAGTAGTGACAATTAATAAATGAATGAGACATACTCAAAGTCACTATAATGGTTACAACACCCTAGAGTTTGTGTGTCAATGGCGCGGAAAATTACAACACCAATAACAGTTAAGTTATAATAAAGTGGGAATGAGAAGCTGAAAATACACACAGTAGCGCTTATCCTCTCAGACACAATCACCCATTATGACTTACACACTGTGAACTCAGTTGTGCTGGGACTCGGGGGGTTTTTTGAATGACACACACAGAGAGAGAGACAGAGAGAATGTCGAAAAATATGAAGAGTTGATCACTCTCATTTGAGGAAAAAAAGACAACAAGAAGAATCAAAGAAAAAGATCAAATGAAATAAATTCATTGGATTTGTTTCTTCGTGTTGAACTCAAAATACTGTGTGTGTGTGTGCATGTGGTGTGTGCGGCGTAAGGGATTGGAGGGTATTGCGTTGTGTAGATGAGAATTCCCTCCCCCCCTCCTCCCCAATTAATGTGTATCTGTTTGTCTGTGTAAGCGACATATTCTTCAGGATAGTGCTCTTTATTTATTCATTAACAATAGGATTCGGTGACGGAATACTACGTTGATTGCCTGAAATAAAATAAAGGGAAAATACAAAAAAAGTGTATACAAATATATATAACAGTCAAAGTCTTCTAAATTCTATTTCATTTTCGTTTCTATAGGGGTTTGTTGTATTTATTTATACTGTTCTATTTTTATTCATTGTAATTTTTTTTTAATTATTATCACCAATGATACTCCTAATTGTGGTGGACTGACTGGATTATGCGTCAGACAGTGAGAAGCAAAAAGGAGACAGGAATATGCTGAACTGACCGACGTGAAGAACCTAGAAGACCTGGATTTCGCGCGTGAATGATTTATGTTTGATGTCACATAAAACTTACTTAGAAGACTTACAAGCGAAAACCGACAAATTGGTCGAAGAGGCAGCCGGTGAAGACAGGACTTCAGGTGAGAATATAGACAAGACGCAGCAACATCCAGCGCCAATCACCATCAACGGGAGGGATTTCAAAGAGGTTACTTCATTCACTCACTTATATAGGGAGCATTGTCTCGACTACAGGAAGTCTCACCGGACGAGGATGTCATATCGAGCGAGAATCGGGTGGTGGGCGAGAAATACACACATTCATCAACCTGAAACCAATCTGGAAATCTTCGTCACTCAGCCACCATCAACAACAAAATTCGCCCGGACTTTCAATACAAACAGAGTCAAGTCAATCAAATCTTCTATACGGATCAGGCAGAAACTTGTCGGGCGGGTCACAAAGAATATTTCCAACAGCCTGTTGCAGACCGTCATCAACCAACAACTGTCTTCGCTGGATCTATACTGAAGATCAATCAGATAGCCGGAAAGGATCATCAACAAGAAACTATTGGAACAAACAAACAAAACAAGAATCAGTCGCTCGCCCAACAAATATGCAGGAGAAAGTGGAGATGGATTGGACACTTGCGGCTGAGGAGGCCGGGCCGCTGGGTGACATCGAGCGCGCGTCAGACCATTGCTCGAGTGGAACCCGACAGAATTGAAAGCAGAGAGTGGAACGTCAGTGCAAGTGTAACATGGAGGAGATCATGTAAAGAGAGAGGAGCTGAAACAGTATGGACTAACTAACATGGATGGAAGCAGGTGAAAAGTACAGCAGTAGGAAGACAGAAGTAAGTGGAGACGTGCAGTTGAAGCCTTATGTTCCACTAGGAACCTAAGGGAACAGTAATAATAAAAATAATTTTTTTATAGAATGGCGGATGGGAGCTAGTCTCACAGCTTCAACCTTCCCTGCTTACCGAGTTTACCTCAGATTGATAGAAGTGTAGTAGTACACACCCAGGAAGAAGAACCTATTTATAATTCCTTCTATTATTATGTATATATATATTATTAACGAGCATTCGCCTGTAAAACTCACATGATACAATAGTGCAGAAAAAAGACCTCAAACATATGCTCACAAGTACACAAGCACCTCCACACACACACACACACACACACACACATAATGCTCACATTAGATAACGTGATCACTCATTATATACACCAGAGAGTGTAAGCGACACACATTAAATTATCAATCATTACTATTGTTATTATTTAAAAAGGCTTGACTTGAGGGAGAGAAAGAATAAAATTAATTACACGACACACTAATCATTTTTAGCTAACAATTTGCAATGAATGTGAATAGATTGTATGACGTAAGAAGTAAGGATTGCTTAAATAGATGGATTAACACACATACACTCACGCAGTCACTCATTCACTCACTCACACTCATACATAACCACTTGCTCACATGATGTCTGTCTATAGGTGATAATACAATTCTGATTAATTGTACATAATGTTCAAGTATTGGTTTTGTAACGATTTTTTTTTTTATTACAGAGAGGATTTCCTCATGAACTGATATAGAAACTACCAGGGAGTAATAGACAGCTGTTTCTTTAGTCAGCCTGGTTTGGAACTCTTCATCAGTACCAACCCACACCACAGGGTTCCAACCCAGGACCTTCTGCTTACAAGGCTAGCGAGCTCGTAGACCATTGAGCCACTACGGCCCCATCCAATGGTCCTTGTACTCTAACTTCTGCCGATTCACGGCATGATGCGACCATTTTGCACTGTGTTCTGCTTCGATGAGTTACTGCCTCATCTTCAACCTGCTGTACCCTACTACTGATCACCGCTTTTCCAGTGGTTCTCTAACTGATGTCAGCTGCTCATGAAATCCTCCATACAATCAAACAAAATCCTTACAAAACCAATACTTGAAAATTAATCAATCTGATGCTCACTAGCGACTGGCCCTATTAAGACAGTGAGTGACCTGGGGTTCTAGTGGGAAGCGGTGACCAGTAGGAAACAGCAGGTTGACGTAGAGGTAGTAACTCATCGAAATGGTTGTCGTGAATTCGCAGAAGTTAGAATACAAGGACCATTGGATCGGGTCCCAGTGGCTTAATGGTCTACGAGCTGGCCTTGTATCTAAAAGGTACTAGGTTCGAACCCTCATGGGTTCGTACTGATGAAGAGTCACAAACTAGGACGAAACAGCTGTTCAGTACTCCAAGTTGGTTTTCCAGTGGTAATGATAATGTCAGTTCATGACGAAATCCCCCATGCAATATATATATATATAATTTGTGGGGGACTGGATCAGGAGTCAGACAGTGAGTGGGAAGCGAGGAGAAAGGAATACACTGCACTGACCACACGAAAGAAGACTCTACAAGATCTGGATTTTGCGCAATTGTGGTGTATGTTTAATGTCACACAAACTGAAAAATTTGAAGACAGGCAAAAAAACCAATATATGGTTGAAAAAGTAGTCGGTGAAGACAGGACTCCAAGTGAAAATAGAGAAAATGGACGTAGGTGATGAAGACAACCAACCAGCACCAATCACATCAACGAGAGATTTGAAAGACGTTACACCCTTCACTCATCTGGCTAGGAAGCAGTGTTTCAACCACCAGAGATACACGGAACGGATGAAGATGTCAAAACCAGCCAACCAATCAGCCAGCCAGCCAGAATCGGAAAGTCAAGATATGCCTTCATCAACTCGAAAAAAGTTTGGAAATCTTCTGCACTCTGCCTGGTACACAAACAACAAGATTCAGATTTTTAACATAAATGTGAAGTCAGACAATCAGTTCTTCTATTCCTGCCTGCCTGTTTTCGACATAGAACTTTGCACAAATGTGCGGAAGTTCAAGTCGCCACATTCCGTGTAGCACGCGAAGCAAGAGAAGAAAGTACAAGAAAAGCATAATAGAAACAGTGTGCAGAGGTGTGAGACAAAGGAGTAATAAAGAAATACAAAACAGTTTCAGTGAAGATCATAAGTCACAGGGAGTGGATGCATCTGCGCCACTGAGAACGATTTTGAGCCATGTCACCAATTGTTTCCAACCACTGATTTTTACCGTCCCGAGGACCCCAGCCTGGAAGTCTACACCTTCCTACGTGGCTTAGACCAACTGTTCCGGATTTCATTGACTGGTGCCACGTTTTTGTTTGACCGCCGCTAGCTCTTCTCCAGCCTGACCCTATATCCGCTAACATTGCTCGTCGAGGGAGGCGATGGCTTGGCATACGTAACACATGTCCTAACCATCTCAGTCTTTGTAGCTTCACGACTTCGTCGATTGATTTCCTCTGTTTACCTAGAACTCGACACCTAACCTCCATGTTGCTCACCTTATTATGCCACTTTACACGGGAAATAGAACGCAGGCACCTATGATCAAAGACAGCTAGTCTTTTCATGTCTTCCACTCTCAGTGGTCAGGTCTCACAACCATAAAGGAGGACGGAGCGGACTGATGAGCAGTACACCCGCCCTTTGGTCGATAGTCGAACATCTCGTCTACGCCAGAGTCGGCGTAAACCAACAAATGCGAAACGAGCCCCTTGTATTCGTGCTGAGATTTCGTCAGAGACCAACCCGTTGGCACTGGCTGATGGTACTTCCCAAATAAGTGAAGCGACCAACGTGCTCTACCACTTCACTTCCTATTTTTAAACTAGGCGTCGATGTAGTCAAGTCCTGTAACATCATCTTGCATTTGGCGGGAGCGAATCGCATGCCAAACATTCGTAGATTTGTTGAGGCCCTATGTTCCACTCAGAACCCAAGGGAATAACAATAATAATAATGTGACATACAAGTTTGCCCACGGATTGATATCAGTTAGAGAACCATTGAAAACTAGCACTGTAGTACTGGACAGCTGTTTCACCCTAGTCTAGAGACCATCATCAGTACGAACCCACACCACGGAGCTCGAGCATAGGACCTTCAGGTTACAAGTCTATGGAGCTCGTAGACCATTCAGTCACTGGGATCCGACTCTTCAATGGCCAGTCGGTGAATTTTAACTTCTACTAATTCGTAATTTAGCGCAACTGGCACCAACCAATGTCATTGATGGAGCATCCATCCTCATATGTGACATCTGAATGGGCACCTCACTGGTCATGACTTCTCACTAGAACTACACGAAACGCTGTCCTGTAGCAAGTCACTAGCGAAATTTGGCTTTATCCTTACATAGGTCTCAGAAAACATACAGGAATTACAGTTACTTTACTTTACTTTACTTCGGCTATCTCCTACGGGAGGATGAGCCGGCTTCATGAACGTCTCGAATCATCGCTGCTCAGGCGCGGCTATTTGTAAGAGAGTTCATGTAGTTTCATGGGAATTTGGTACGAGTGATGTCCCCAGCGTCGCTCGGCCTTTTGTTTGAGAGTGCAGCTCTAGCCTTTACACAGCCAAGTGTGACCTACAAGGCAGTAGGAGTGGAGTAAGGAGTCCACTATCCATTGGCAGCCGGTGACCGGAGTTCGGTTCATACGCCTTTTTGAATGGGGCCAGACATCCAGGACATCCAACAAGCCCTTTGTCCATACGTCTGCCGGTGAGCTCCAGTAATCTTCATACGCCAGTCGTTGGAGGTTTGGAATCAGGGTTTAGCCATCTCCCTAGACTGTCATCCAATGGCGATGAAATCTCAGCACGGATCCGAAAAGCTCGAGCTGCTTTCGCTGACTTACACCATCTCTGGCGTAGGCGTGACATCCGGTTATCAACCAAGGGACGTGTGTACTGCTCATCAGTTCGCTCCGTCCTTCTCTATGGCTCTGAAACATGGCCAATACGCGTTGAAGACATGAAAAGGTTGACTGCTTTCGATCATAGATGTCTGCGATCTCTGTCTCACGTTAGGTGGTTTCACAAGATAAGTAATGTTGACGTTAGGCGTAGAGTGTTGGGCAAAGAGGGAAAATCAATCGACGAGGTTATAAAGTTACATAGACTAAGATGGCTAGGTCACGTGGTGCGCATGCCTAACCACCGCCTCCCCCGACGGGCATTGTTAGCTGATATAGGTTCAGGTTGGAAAAGAGCCAGTGGTGGCCAAACAAAAACATGGCATCAATCCATGAAATCCTTGACAGTTAAACTGAGTCAGGTAGGGAGATGCAGACTCCCGGGTTGGGGCCCTCGGGACTCTAGGAATCAATGGCTGGAGACAATAGGTGACATGGCTCAAAATCGTTGTCAATGGCGCAGATGTATTCAATATCTGTAATCTTTCATATTCCTTTCTACCACTACCCATTCTGTTTCACTCTTATATCTGTCAAACTCTATAAATTCTCTTCACTCATCTTCTTGTCTACCTCTGTGCTATTTGGAAGGTGGCAACTCGAACTGCTGCACTTCGGTGCCAAGTTCTATGTTGAAGCCAGACAGACAGACAGACATCCAATGGACAGTCAACCCGGTGAGGAGCGCCGGGCATCCGCTTTTGCCCTCTCACTTTGGTGAGAAACACCTCCGCCACGTGAAGGCAGTGAGTAGGACTTCCTCAGGAGAGGCTATGTAAGACGCCCGGTCATATGGGAGCATTTCAAGAGGTGTGCGGAGGGGTGGCCAACCCGCAGCGCAAGGCACCCACCCCGACCATCCTGAGGCTTTGGAGGAATTACAGTTGCTATCTGAAGTAAAGATAAATACCCACTAACAACTTTAGGTGTATATTTTTTCATGAACCTACACACCTCAACTAGAGAGATTATTAAAAAGTAGCTAGGAGTATTGGACAGCAGTTTCATGGCCTAGGATTTGGAACTCTTCATCAATACACACTCACCCACTCAGCCATGGGGGGTTTGAACCAAGAAAGTTTCGGCTACAAGGCTAACTCGTAAATACTTCAAATAAGTGGCAAATGAGCTCAAACTTCTAGAAACTGATGGGATTCATGAGCCATAGGATCGGTCTCCAGTGACAGGATGGTCCTGGGATAGAACCCTGGCGGTGGGTGCGTACTGATGAAGAGTCCAGAACTAGGCTGATGAAACAGCTGTCCAGTACTCCCTACTGGTTTTCTAAATGACACTAACCCATGATCACACTGAGGAAAAATTAAATCCCTATAAAAGTGAATCATTAAAGTTGAATCATGAATTGGAAACATTTCTGCAAGGTATTTAATTTGACGAATTCGAAATACTTTTCAGCCTTTTGTGGCAGTAAATGATGGAGATTCGATTGCTTCCGCATGAGACTCACTAAACTGAATACAGAAGTAGAAGACCCTTCAATGACTTTTAATAGTTGATGGCCTTAGTAAGTTAGAACTCATGTAACCCAGAACAGGGTTTTTCTCCAAATATCAGACTACCAGCCAACAATTCTAGTGTAAAGGCTAGTGATTCTAACCAGTTGTCCAGGCTAAATTAGGCGAAGAGGGATTCGAGACTGAGGACACACTGACTTAAAGTTGAGTGTTTATGCCAACAGAGTAATATCCCATAGTATATATAGTACCATGTATATCGATGTATAACAATCTACAACCTCAAACCAATCCACTTTACGCTTATTTGTTTATCCAATTTGTGCAGGACGAAAGCAGACACACTCTTCAAGTTTGATCGGGCACTGACGTTAGTTGGAAAACCAGTGAAAAACATCAGAGAGTACTGGACAACTATCTCGTCCTATGTCTGGAGCTCTTCAACAGTATTCACCCACGATCCCCCAACCCAACAACAGTTAGTTTAAGCCACATAGGAAGGTGTAGACTTCCTGACTGGTTGAGGTCATCAGGACAGTAAACATCAATGGAAGCTGCCGACAATTGGTGATATGGTTCAAACTCATCGTTCTCAATGATGGCGCAGATGCATCTACTCCTTGTGACTTATCATTTCCGATGAAACTATATTGCTCTTCGTTATTACTTTTCTTTTTGTCTCATATACCTGTCTACTGTCTCTTTTATGCATTTCTTCTACTTCCTTCTCTTGCTTTGTGTGTTACATGGAGTGTGGCGACTTGAACTGCTGCACATAGGTGCAAAGTTCTATGTTGAAAAGAGACAGACCCACGACCCCACCGGAGACTGGCTACTCTACAGGACGAGGTTATCCCCAAGTTCAAGTGAGAAGTCGTAACCAGTAGAGTCTAATACTTAATGATGGTCACGCTAAACATTGCAAATTGACAGAGGTTAGAGTTTATGGGTCAAATGGTTGGACAGTCAACTAGCTTAGCCTTTTGACCTGAAGAGGTCACGGATGAATGCTGATGAAGAGTCCCACACATTAAGAGAAAACAGCTATCCGGTACTCTCTAGTGGTTTTTACTGTGGTTCTGTAACTGACATCAATCTGTGATCGAACTCGAAACAAATCAAATCCGTATAAATTAACTCTTGAAAAAATGGAAAGTATACAAGGAGAAAAAGTGAAAATCAAATAAAGACTAAACTATACCTTCATCTTTAATACCACCAGCAACAACTGAAGCAAATGTATTCACTTTATTGCTGCCAGTAGTCGCTGTAACATTCATTCCGGCAAGATTAATATTGGCTGCAGCAGATGCTGGCAAGGCGTAGACACCAGGTTGTTGAGGTCCACCAGTACGCATAGAATTGACATTTTTCGATACAATACCATCGCCTGAACCACTGATCGAAGATGATGATGGGGTAATATTTGATGCAGGCAGAGAACTGGAATCATACGGTGAATTAGGATTCATTGCTACTGATGACAGGCTGGTTGCTGGTTGGTTATTCGATGGATGAGGTGTAAGCAGTCTGAAATGCAAGAAAGAGAAGAAGAACAAGAAGAAAGTGTGTCACAGAAATACAAAAATAAAGACTCGAGCTTAGAAGGTTGAGTAGTAGTAGTAGTAGTAGTAGTAGTAGTAGTAGTAGTAGTAGTAGTGTTGACGGCTTCATGCCCAACCTTCCGCCTTATACCGATCATACTATAGGCTAAGCGAAATTTCTGCGTCGGCGGCACAGCGGTTAGGACGCCCGCCATCATGCACATGGCCCGGGGTTCGATCCCCGGCCGACGCACTCCTTTACGTCGCTAAGCCATTTATTATTATATTATATTGTATATATTATATATTAGATATATTATATTATTATTATATACTTTAATTCCTAGAGGGACATAGGGTTTCAGATGTGCGTCTCCATTGCCTTCGGTTTTCTGCCAACATTTTCACCCCGCTCCAAGTCTGCCCACATCTTTTCATCCTCCCTTCATATGACCTCCTCCAAGTCATCTTTGCTGACCTACTCGCCACTTTCCTTTCGGGTTCCACTCGAGCAATGGCTTGTCTAGTGATGTCACTCACTTGATGGTTTCCTCAGCGTATGACCAATCCATCTCCATTTCTTCCTGCCTATTTGTTTCACAATCGGTTCCTGGTTGGTTCACTTCCAGAGATCCCACCCTGTTACTGATCTTTTCTGGCCGAAATCTGATCTTGAGTATTGAGCGAAGACAGCTAGCTGTTGATGAAGGTCTGTAGTTTGTTTGAGACGCTCTTCATGACGCGCTGGCCAAGTCTCTGATCCGTATGGTGAGTAGCACTGAATTCACATTGGAGTTGAAAATCCAGATCTTATTTTTGATGCTGAGTGATGTTGACCTCCACACAGACTTAAGAGTAACGAAAGCTTGTCTTGCTTTTCCGATTCTTGTTTTGATATCCTCGTCAGTTCCGTCGGCCTGTAGTGGAAACGATGTTTCCCAGGTCGGTCGGTAGGTAAAGGAGGTTGTTTCTTTCAGGTTCTTCCCATTTATGCTGATTGCTGTCTGCTGTTGGTGTTGGTCATGAATCTTCATCTACTCTGTTTTATCCATGGTCATCTGAAGCCCTATCTTTGATGCTTTTACTATCGCCAACTTGTTTCTTTTCATCACTTGCATATCTTCCAGTTTGTGGGAAATCAGACATATATCATCGGCGAAGTCCAGATCCTCCAAGTTATCTTTTGTGTGAGTCCATTTTATGCCTGTTTCCTCATTCCCCGCCGTTGTCTGTCGCATTATCCAATCTACTGCAATCAGGAAGATCATTGGCTTGCAGTTATAATGCTGGTAAACAGGAAAGGTTGGGCATGAGATAGCTAACAACCCCATCCTGTAAAACTAAACACTGCTACAGAAACTTCAAACCACTAGCTTGAGGCCCTACGTTCCACTGGGAACTTGAAGGAAAAAAAGCGAAATTTAGGAGTGCCTCGACCGGACACCGAACCCCAATATCCCACTTGTGGCGTAACTGGAGAGCATTCTACCACTGAACAACCGACACATGAAATTGTGGTGAGAGCTGTCTGCTGACCGAAATTGGTAGACAGTAATTTACGTCGATGCTTACGTCTCAAATCTTGGTCGTGAGAAAAAAAGAACAAGAACAAAGACTAACTCAACAAACAATCACAGCAGACTATGCGTGGGCGGATACAATTCGCAGATATATGGTCTGACCTTCAAAAAATGGCCACAGAGATGACAATAACTTTCAGCGAGAAAACAACCAATCGGAAGACTCTGCTGTTTCTCTGCTAATGATAACGAATAATAATGTACATAAAAATATATAAATGCCTCTTGATTTTCTCAACAGACGATCTGTTGCCTGGCCCTTGTCTTCAGTCATTACAAAATGACGCTTGTATTGTAGGTGACAATTTGTTAGTTGTAATAACAGTCACAATCATGTAACGACTGACAGAAGAGATATGATACGGCATTCCTCAACTTTTGTATCACCCTTTGCCGCCAGAAAGACAAATCTCACTGATGACATTAGATGGCTGGAGGCTGTCGGTAGGATGACTTGGCTGGACCAAAGTTTCGCGCTTGTTAGCAGCATTCACCAGTCGGTCAGTAAGGTGTATCTGCAGGAACTCATCTCCTATTTGAGATTTGAAACTGCAACATCCAGTGAAGAGGTTGGCAGACGTTACACCACTGGGAGCTATTCGGGCTAGAGATTCACCTCCTCCTGTGAGACTGGAATGCATGCTTTGAGTGGATACTAGGTAAGTAGTAGATAATGTCAATTGTCCGCTTCTTCGTTTGATGCAGACTGGATTCTATTAGTCTAGGATAAGGGATCTGTGGAGATCTGTTTAACGTATCTGGGTTACTGCACTATTATAGTTACATACAATATCTCTTGTCCACTTTGCCTTAATCCATTCCAAAAATATGACCTCTAATGGTGTTTTCTACTGATACATTAGATTGGTTGGAGGCAATCGGAAAGAAGCCTCCACTGACCTAGGTTTCATGCTAGCTCGCGCTTACCAGTCAGTAAGGCGTATCTGTAACCACCTTGAAGGAATTCATATCCCTCGTCTGAGATTCAAACCCGCATCACCCAGTTAGTACTGCATTCAGAGGCGTTACCACTGAGCTATGCGGGTTGGCTAGCCTATAGAGGTAAGTGTGAGGACAAATACTCGCCACAGATGACATTGCCTAGTGGTCGTGCTAACTGGTCATTGAATGTGGGAGACATGAAAAGCCTTGCTGGCTAGTTGCCTTTGATCATAGGTGGCTGCGTCATATCTCCTGTGTTAAGTGGTATAGTAGGGTGAGCAATATTGAGTGAGGTTAGGCATCGGTTGAGTGCTAAGTAAAGAGCGGAAATCAATAGACGAGGCTGTGAAGTTACACTGATTCAGATAGTTACGACATGTGTTACGCAAGTATCCTAAACCGTCGCCTTCCTCGACCGATGAGCGATGTTAACTGACATACGATCAGGTTTGGAAAGACCCAGCGGTGGTCAAACGAAAACATGGCTTCATCAGTCAATGAAATCGACAGCAGTTAGTTTAAGTCACGTAGGGAGATGTAGACTTCATGACTGGTTGGGGTCCTCGGGATGGCAAACACCAATGGAGGCTGCAGGCTATTGGTGATATCTCATATCTCTGTTTACTGTCTCTATTTTGCATCTTTTCTTACTTTCTTCTCTTACTTAGTTTGCTAAGTGAAGTGTGGCGACTAGAACTGCTGCACATTGGTGCAAAGTTCTATGTTGAAACTAAGGAGACAGACAGACAGACAGTGGTCGTGTTATGTCGGGAATTATTAGTAGAAGTTGGATTTCATGGACTGACCATTGGATCGGGCTCCAGTGGCTGGCACTTAATGGTCTACAAGCCCGCTAGCCTTGTAACCAGAAGGTCCTGGGTTGGAACCCCATGTGTTGTGCGTGCGTACTTGATGAAGATGCCTAAAACTAGGCTGACGAAAGAAACAGCTGTCTAGTACTCCCTGGTAGTTTTGATGTCAGCTCATGATGAAATCATGTAACCAAAAAGGAGGGAAGCACAAATTCCAGGTTAATAAAAATAATCAATGTAAATTGACAACCAATCACGGGAGATACAATCATATGATCATTCATGGAGAATTCAAATATGTTCAGCTTATATTAAAGGCTGAGCTGAATATGTCGTATTAAGAAACAACGAAAGCTTCGTATTTTCTATAGTTTGGTTTTGTAGGGGTTAGTTTTCTTTTAACGAGTTGATCACGCATTGAAATAAGTTAGAGAACCATTGACAACCAGCTACAGGGAGTACTGGACAGCTGTTTCATCCGCCTAGTTTGGGAATCATCGCCAGTACGCACCCACCGCCAGAGTCCGAACCCAGGACCTTCGGACTACAAGACCAGCTAGCTGGCTCGTATACCATTCAGCCACTGGGACCCGACTCTTCAATGGCCAGCCAGCCACTGCATGAATCCTAACTTCTACCAATACGTGATTTCAGTGCAACCCCAAACAATGTCGTCGGTGGGACATCCATCCTCACACGTGACAGCTGGATGAACCTCACTGGTCACGACTTCTCACTAGAACTGCTCTATCTTGTAGCAAGTCACTAGCGAGCATCAGATTAATTTTCTATAGTTTGGTTCAATGGTTCTTTAGCTGATATCAATCCGTGATCAACTCGTAATGACAAAACTAACCCTTACAAACCAAACTATAGAAAATTAATCTGATGCTCGCTAGTGACTTGCTACAAGATAGAGCAGTTCTAGTGAGAAGTCGTGACCAGTGACGTCCATCCAGATGTCACGTGTGAGGATGGATGTCCCACCAACGACATTAGTTGGGGTTGCGCTAAATGCATCAGAAATTAGTAGAAGTTAGAATTCATGCAGTGGCTGGCCATTGAAGAGTCGGGTCCCAGTGGCTGAATAGTATACGAGCCAGCTAGCTGGCCTTGTAACCGGAACGTCCTAGGTTCGAACCCCGTGGTGTGGGTGCGTACTGGCTATGATCAACCTATGATCAACTCGTAGAAAGCTTCTCAATTAAATCAACCACCTCCTCACAGAACACAATTAAATCAAAATCATCCACAAGAGCTATAAATCTTCTCCGTTATTATTTCAATATAATACTCATAATCATATTAAATATAAATTACCTCTGTGTTCTGATTAGAACAGCTTCACCGCCATTGATTGGATCGATAGAGAATATATGAACAAGACCATCTAAACCAGCGACAATTAGCCTCGGTTGGTTTTGATAACTAGTAAATATTTTTAAAATGGGCAAAATAAAACACGACAATTGATTAAATATTGGAACATTTAACAAGCATTTAAACAAAATAATAGTTTTTTCAAGTATTGGTTTTGTAGGGATTTAGTTTGATTGGATGGAGGATTTCATCATGAGCTGACATCAGTTAGAGAACCACTGGAAAACCACCTGGGTGTACTGCACAGCTGTTTCGTCCTAGTCTGGGACTCTTCATCAGTACGAACCCACCACAGGGGTTCGAACCAAAGAGCCTTCTGATTGCAAGGCGACCTCGTAGACCATTGAGCCACTGGGAAGCGATCCAATGGCCAGCCCATGAATTCTAACTTCTGCCAATTCACAACATAGCGCTACCATTTCTTAATGTCTTCTTCGATGAGTTAGTGCGTCACCTTCAACCTGCTGTACACCACTGGTCACGGCTTCCCACTAGAACCTGTCTGGGTTCGAACCCCGTGGTGTGGGTGAGTACTGATGAAGAGTCCCAAACTAGCCTGGCGAAACAGCTGTCCAGTATTCCCAGGTAGGTTTTCCAGTGGTTCTCTAACCGATGTCAGCTCAAGATGAAATCCTATAACCTAACAATGAAATCCGTACGAACCAATACTTGAATAAATTGTATCATGACGCGCTGTTTAATTTTATTGAATGGCACCAAATCATGCTGTTGTCCACGCACTAAATAAAATATGAAGTTGCGTCATCCTGTAGAGACAAAAAGATGTCTGGAACAAGTTGGATTGTGACCGAACGTAAATTGTGTTTTGATCAAATTGTGACGCTATGCATCTTCATACATATTATGAAAAGGAGCATCGAATGACAGAGTAATATCACTACCTGAACTTCATCGGCACTGAAAAAGCTTTTGACAGCGTTGACCATGAAGTGATTTGGAAACTGTTTCAAGAAAACAGAGTACCTTCAATCTTTATTAACCTTATTCAGTAGCTATATGACAATTGAACATGTCAATTAACGCTCAACCGAAAACTCAGAGAGGCCTCTGAAGAGAAGACACGGGTAAGTAAGAAAATGCTGTCTTCTGTCACCGATGACATTCCTATTAATGGTGGACTGGAGGATTTCGCGGCAGACAGTGGGCATACGTTCGAATGACGAGAAAATACTGTAAGATCTGAGCTTCACGAATGATTTATGTCTGATATCGGTATACACTCGAAGATCTAAAGGCGAAAACCTACAACACGTTGAGGACAGAAGAAGCAACAAAGACATAGAGAAGACAGAGGTTATAAAGATACTCAACCATCGCGACCAACAACAAGCAATAATCACCATCAATGGGAGGAATTTAAGGGGTGGGGGGGGTCATTTCTTTCACTTATCTCTATACACAGCATCGTTCTAACTCCAGCTGTCACGGATGAGGTTGTCTAAGCCAGTCTCTTGATTAGAAGAGTAGGACACATTGATCTGAAATAAGTGTACGAATCTGATGCACTCAGTGCGCATAAGGGACAATATCTAGATCTTCAATACTACTTACTGTCAAGTCAATCACTGCTGCTATTCTATATAGTTCAGAGACTTGGGTTACGTCACTAAGCGCATTTCCAACAGGCTACAGACCTTTATCACAACAGATGCCTTCGATCCACACTGAAGATAACCAGAAAGGATCAGCAGAATGAAACTCTGAAAGCGAACCAAACAAGAACCCATCACCACCGGAAAAATATGACGAAGGATATGGAAATAGATTGAACATGCACACGCTAAGACCTTCAAGGGAACATAGAGAAAACAGAGGCGATGAAGATTCCTGGCCAACAACAACAGACAACAATCAGCCAGCATAAATGGGAGAAATCTGAAAGAAACAACCTCCTTCACCTACCTACCTACCTACCTAGGAAGCATCGTTTCAACTACAGGTGGACGGAACTGACGAGGATATCAAAGCACAGAGAATCGGGAGAGCAGGGTAAGTTTTCATTACTCTCAAACCTGTGTGGAGATCAACACTCAGTACTCAGCATGAAAAATAAGATCCGGATTTCGAACTTCAATGTGAAGTCAGTCGGTGCTATTTACTATGCTGGTCAGAGACTTGGCGCCACGTCACGAAGGGCGCTTCGAACAAACCAAAGATCTTCATCAACAGTTGTCTTCCCTCAATACTCAAGATCAGATGGCCAGAAAAAATCAGCAACAGAGATGTCTGGGAGCGAACCAACCCAGTAGAAACCGATTGTGCAACAAATATACATGAAGAAATGGAGGTGGATTGGCTGACCATACTGTGAGAAATCAAACCATCAAGTGAGTGACATCACACGCCAGGCCATTACTCGAGTGGAAATCGAACGGGAAGCGGCGAGTCGGTCGTCAGGGAGAGGGTGACATGAAGGAGGTGATGCGAAGAGAAGATGAAAGCATGCGGGCAGACGTGCAGCTAAATAAAAACGTTGGCAGAGAACCGAACGCAATGGAGACGTCCAGCTGAAGCCCTATGTTCCTCTAAGAACTAAGGGAAACAATAATGATAATAATATAATAACACACGCCAAGGAGACTGCTGAGTAAAATCACACACCATACAAATCGTTGAATGGGAGGAGGCTACGAGTTCGGCATCCTGGAATAATACGCAGATCGTGTGAGGAAGAAATGAAGGCCGATAGGCAATTGTAGAGCCAACTTAATAGGACTACAGAGAGTAAGGTTCAGGCCTTGTGCTCGATCAGAACCGAAAGGAATAACAATACTATATTAGTAATCAGGTAAGGTCAAATAGTAAGTTTGAAAACCCCTTCTTAATCGCGATAGAAAACAAACAGACATCATGACAGCCTACTAATCAACACTAGCTGACCTTGACCTTCATGATTGTCATGTCTGTCTGTCTGTTTTCGACATAGAACTTTCCACAAATGTGCACCAGTTCAAGTCGCCACATTCCGTGTAGCACGCGAAGCAAGAGAAGAAAGTACAAGAAAAGCATAATAGAAACAGTGAGCAGAGGTGTGAGACAAAGGAGGAGTAATAACGAAGAACAAAACAGTTTCATTGGAGATCATAAGTCACAAGGAGTGGATGCGTCTGCGCTAGCCACTGAGAACGATCACTTTGAGCCATGTCACCAATTGTTTCCAACCATTGATTTTTACAGTCCCGAGGACCCCAGCCTGGAAGTCTACACCTTCCTACGTGGCTTAGACCAACTGTTGTGGATTTCATTGACTGGTGAAGCCAAGTTTTTGTTTGACCGCCGCTAGCTTTTTTCCAGCCTGATCCTACATCCGCTAACATTGCTCGTCGAGGGAGGCGATGACTGGCTTGGCATACGTAACACATGTCCTAACCATCTCAGTCTTTGTAGCTTCACGACTTCGTAGATTGATTTCCCCTGTTTACCTAGAACTCTACGCCTAACCTCCATGTTGCTCACCTTATTATACCACTTCACACGAGAAATAGAGCGCAGGCACCTATGATCAAAGACAGTCAGCTAGTCTTTTCATGTCTTCCACTCTCAGTGGCCAGGTCTCACAACCAGCCATAGAGGAGGACGGAGCGGACTGATGAGCAGTACACCCGCCCTTTGGTCGATAGTCGAACATCTCGTCTACGCCAGATTCGGCGTAAACTAACAAATGCGAAACGAGCCCCCTGTATTCGTGCTGAGATTTCGTCAGAGACCAACCCGTTGGCACTGGCTGATGGTACTTCCCAAATAAGTGAAGCGGTCAACGTGCTCCACCAACCACTTCACTTCCTATTTTTAAACTAGGCGTCGATGTAGTCCAGTCCTGTAACATCATCTTGCATTTGGCGGGAGCGAATCGCATGCCAAACATTCGTAGATCGCGGCTCAAGGTGTTTAGAAGACTCTGCATTTCGTCAGCGTCTTCACCTAGAAGGACTATATCGTCTGCATATTCCAAGTCAACGAGATTATTCCCTGGTAGCAAGTCAATCGCTGAGTCGCTGAAGTCATGTGATTTTCGGTTACCTTAAAGTAAAGCATCGTCGGTGGCATAGCGGTTAGGACGCTCACCGACCGTGCATATGGTCCGGGGTTCGATCCCCGGCCGACGTACTTCCTTTACCTCGCTGAGCCAGAAATAATGTTGGTAAAGGGGAAAGGTTGGGCATGAGGCTAGCTACCCCATCCTGTAAAAATAAACACTGCTACGGAAACTTCAAGCCGCTAGCCCTATGTTCCACTGGGAACATGAAGCAATAAAAATAATAAAGTAAAGCATTGTCTCAACTACACGAGGAACGGACGAGGATGTCAAATCGCGCGAGAATCGGGAAGGCGAGCGAGAAACACATTCATCAACCTGAGACCAATCTGGAAATCTTCGTCACTCAGCAACAACAACAAAATTCGGATCTTCAATACAAACGTCAAGTCAGTTCTTCCAACAGTTTGCAGACCTTTATCAACAACAACTGTCTTCGCTCTATACTGAAGATCAGATAGCCGACCCGGAAAGAATTGCCAACAAGAAACTATGAGAGCGAACAAAACAAGAACCAATCGCCAACCAACAAATATGCAGGAGAAAATGGAGGTGGATTGGACACTCGCTGAGGAAGCCCGCTGGGTGACATCGCGCGTCAGGCCATCGCGTTAAAGTAAATACTCCCACCACTTGAATTGAATTTTTGATTTTCCCGTCGATTGATTGGACCGAAGTGCTCGGTCTCAGGTTGACATGTCGGCTTCTTGTGCAGATGCTTCGACGATGTCTGGGCATTTAGTTAGTATACAATTGGTGGATGGTGGCTAGCAGTGGAATCAAGGATGCGCATTTCGTCCTATTTGGGACTCGTCAGCTGGATGTACCTGCATTTCTCAGTGAGTGATGATGTTCCCACTGAGGCTCGAACCCAGTACCCATAGTTTCAAACGCCAAAGCGTTATCCACTAGACCACTTGGGCCACGAGAGCCACCTCTTGTGCGACGGGTCATATTAATTATTGAATTGAGAAATGCAGGTACATCCAGCTGACGAGTCCCAAATAGGACGAAATGCGCATCCTGGATTCCACTGCTAGCCACCATCCACCAATTGTATACTAACTAAATGCCCAGACATCGTCGAAGCATCTGCACAAGAAGCCGACATGTCAACCTGAGACCGAGCACTTCGGTCCAATCAATCCACGGGAAAATCAAAAATTCAATTCAATAATTAATATGACCCGTCGCACAAGAGGTGGCTCTCGTGGCCCAAGTGGTCTAGTGGATAACGCTTTGGCGTTTGAAACTATGGGTACTGGGTTCGAGCCTCAGTGGGAACATCATCACTCACTGAGAAATGCAGGTACATCCAGCTGACGAGTCCCAAATAGGACGAAATGCGCATCCTGGATTCCACTGCTAGCCACCATCCACCAATTGTATACTCCCACCACTTGTTGTATGAGTGTTGTATTCTATCTTCTTATTTGTGTGTAAATGTAATTCAATGAGCACATTGCTCTACACAGCAATACTGTTCGGTACGTGATTGTCCTTCTTGGTTGAATGACAGCTGCTTTTGTATTGTTACCTCTGTGTGACTGTATTATTTCCTCTATTACATTTCAAAAACGGCCAAAGTTCATGTCACCTAGTCATTTCATATTAGTTTGTTTATTAGATGCATCACAGAGTGAGTGTAACGGTATTATTTACTGGATGTCACAGTTTCGAACAAAATTTATTGTTCACAATCATACCAGTTGTAATCACACGACTTCGAAACTTGAATTTTATAGTTTTCTTTGTTGTCTCGTATTTGTCGTCATTGGGGTAGCAGAATTCTCCAGATGTCTGGGTGAACAGGCGTTGAATCATTCCTATTACACGTGTTGGTTTGCAGTTGATTCAATAAACAAAGCTTCAATCAGTTATCAATCTCTCCCTCCAACCTGTGACGTCAGATTTTAAAACTGTCATCCTATTCCATCCTATTGTATGGTTGTATGTAACTGCCTTGTTAAGAGTTCTGCGTACGCAGAACTAAGTAGTACCAAGGAAAATCTAAGACAGGAAGTGAGGCATATAAGAAAAGCCTTGAAACTTAATAATTACCCTGATAAAATAGTCAGGAAATATATAAGGAAACATAAAAATAAAATAAATAATGATAGTAGTGATAGTGATAATTAATAATAATGATAATAATAATAATAGTGAGAATAATAATAATAATATTAATGACGACACTAACAATAAGGAATCTAAACCATCAACAGTAATTCCATACAAGGAAGGAATCTCGGAAGCCTTACGCATAATTCTTAACAAGCCAGGCAGGAATACAAGCAGATGGCATTCAAATCCTCAAATTCAATTCTTGTTGTTTCCTCTGTCTAAAATATTTGAACGGTGGTTCTTCCAGTCGAATTGATGTCCGTGGTTGTCTGTATGCAGTGATATGAGGGAGTGGATATCATGTCTTTTGACGGCTAGCTTACGTTAGTGGATACGAAGACGAAGAGGACGTTGTCCACTTTGGCCAATGTGGCATTTTTCGCAGTTGTTACAATTTATTTTGTAGATGATGTTGGTTTTATCTTCTTTCGCTGTTGAGTCTTTTGGTTCACATAAGGCCAGCTGAGTGAAGTGACTTTGTTGGTTTGTGTACGACGTCAATTCCTAAACGTTTGAAGAGTCTTGTAGTGATTTCTGAAATATCCTTGATATATGGTAGGGCGATTTTCTTTGTGTTTCCCGTGGGGGCTTTTGGTTTGACACATCGAGATAGACAAAATTTATCAACTGATAAGAAGGAAGTCTCACAAACAAAAGGTCAAAGTTTAAGTCAAAGAAACAATCAGTTCCAATACAAGTAGCAGCCTAGAAGGTGTGAAAACACACAAAAACAACCAATCACGACGTTCAAGGTGGTCACCAGGAGAGATGACTAATAGGGAACTCTTGGAGAAATCTAAAAGCTCACTTCAATTCAATTTGAAGTATGCGCTGAAGATGTTGCCTAGTAGGGCGATGAAAGCTTCGCAAATTAACTATCCAGCTCAGGAAAAAACACAACCACATCAAAATCAGTCCATCCCAAACAAAATCATTTGTCAGATGATTAATCATGCTAGTAAATTTGGTGAGTTAGGTGGAGGTAATCAGAATCTCTAATATAATATGCATATAACCGGATTAAAAGTCCAAATTTAAAAAAAAAAAACTTACTAAACAAGTGCAGCTACCTTCCGCTGTCCAGGAGATGGTTGAATAAGACCAGTAGATGTAGGACTGACAACATAATTAGTATTAACTATTTCGCCTGCTGACGTCATAGACACTGGACTACCACCACCGGCACCGGCACCACCTACTGCTGTTGTTGGTCGATACGAACTATTCACTGATGCACATGGTATACGTGCATAAGCGAATGCACGATCCTGTGCAAATATCTCTGATACTTGATGCGGTAAGTAGACAGAATACGTTTTCAGTGTACTACCCATCCAACCCATTAAACCTTGACTCCAACTAGCCATTGTAGCTGCTGCCCCACCAGCAGCACCGCCTGTTGCACCGCTACCACCGCCATCTAAACCTGAAGTGTTATGATGCTCTATACAACCGGAATAATTCCCTGTGATATTATCATCCGACTGGGGTAGATCACATTCATCGACACCACCACCTGTGCCTTGACTAGCTCCTGAACCTGTAGAGATAGTACGTTGTCTTGTGTAGTGATCAGTGGATATATCAGGGGATTTTTCGGATCTACAAAATGAAAGAGAATTAAGAATAACAACAATCAAACTTATTAAATTATTATTGGAATACAAACATGATATATATTATACGGGTGACTTAGAGATGCACCATACAAATTTTCATAGTTTATGAGGACGCTAGGATACTTACTGTTTGGAGGCCCAGACCGAAGCAGGTGATTGTTTCAAGAGGTCACAGCATCTGAGTCTTTGACTTGAAGCCTCATCCACAAGGCTGAACCGATAGCTGCTACCTTGACGTGGTGGTCGGGCTTGCATATCGCAATGACCCAACAAACTACACTGTCTAGAACTATTGTTCCTGCAGGTCCTACCATGCCAGGAAGGTTGTTAGCATAGAGATTAGACTAATAGCAAATACTGGCATAGAGTGTAAGAGCTTTTTCTTTTTACACTATGCTGGGAGTCTGTGGGTGAAGTCGTACTGCTGGGAAACAGGGATGTAACAGCAGTAAAGTGTTTCCCTCAGATGCCCAACATGCCAGCCAGCTATGCTGTCTCTCCACTCTGGGGAGAGAGGGGGTTAGAAAAGGTCGACCCCGAAAATTGTACATCTCTATGGTGGGCCGAAAATGGCGGTAAGTTTACTAATACGGAAACAACTCAAGTAACCACTCCATACAGGCTGTATGTGACCAGCCCCAAGCAGCTGTCCCCTGGGTTCTGCGGTAACGCAACACTTTCTGTTTCAGGTACCTGAAGAATCAATCAACTTCCACGGTGTGGGCAGCAAGGAAGTAACAACCGCCTACACACTTCCAAAAGCATACGAAGCCTTCCTGAGCATCACTCTCCTTTACCCACATCACCATTATCAAATTACTTTCATTCCCCACAAGACAGTGGGGCAGGGACTCAATGAATGCCAGTGACAAAAAGGGGTTTATGCGCCATTAGATCCATTCGGATTCTGCAGACCGTGTATATCATAGGTCGGGAATCAGGGCTTGCCGAAGTAGACCAGCGTTTCCACAACTTTTTGTGAGAAAGAACACCCTCTCCGCACGGAAGTAGCTAATAGGACCTAACTACCTTGTGAAAGTCAAATGAGAGCTTTCGATAGAAAGACCAAAATCTATTAAACTCCTAACCATCGCCTTCCTTGACCGATGGGCGATGTTAGCTGACATAGGGTCAGGTTGGAAAAGAGTTACCAAGTGGTGGTCAAATCAACACATGGCTTCATCAGTCAGTCAAATCCACAACAGTTAGTTTAAGCCAGTCAAGTAGGAAGGTGTAGACTTCCTGGTTGGGGTCTTCGGGACGGTGAAAACCAATGAAGGCTACAGGCAATTGGTGATATGACTCAAACTCTTCGTTCTCAGTGGCCCGCGCATATGCATCTGCTCCTTATGACTTATAATTTCCAATGAAACTACTTTGTTCCTCAATATTACTATTCTTTTTGCCTCATATCTCTGTTTACTGTCTCTATTTTGCGTTTTTTTTTACTTTCCTCTCTTACTTTGTCTGCCACATGAAGTTTGGTGACTCGAGCAGCTGCACATCGGTGCAAAGTTCTACGTTGAAATCAGTCAGTCAGTCAGTCAGTCAAACTCCTCGACTGTGCCAGGTTGTTTAATCAATGATACTTGCAAACAAACATACAGAAACACTATCCATATGTATAAATACTTGATAAGCAAATGTGACATTTTTATCACACTACCGATTCATTGTCACACAGTTAAATCCATTAGAAAATCAAAAACTAGACAGAATATGTTTGTTACAGGATATCATGAGCTGACGTCATTGGCTAGAGAACCATTGGAAAACCACCTGAGAACACCTGGACAGCTGCTTCGTCAGCCTAGTTTTGGACACTTCATTAATAAGCACTCACTGGGGTTCCAATTACAAGGTCGTGGGTTCGAACCCCGTGGTGTGAGTGTGTAGTACTGAAAACACCCAAATCAGGCTAACAAAACAGCTATCTATCCAGTAACTCTCAACTGGTTTTCCAATTGTTCTCTAACCGATAATGTCAGCTCATGATGAAATTATGATACAATAACAGTTGAAGATATATATATTTATGTACACGCGTCGGAGGGATAGAATAAAACGAACAGAAAAGGTATTCAAACCTTGGAAGACGTACACCTACACACAAAAAAGTGAATACACCCTTGTATATACGCTATGAATGAATTCGATTTACTTGTTTAATTAGGTATTTAGCTAAAACATTGAACAAAATCGGTGTACATACAGTTCAGTATAACATATACCTAGTGACAGTAGAGACATTTATGAACTAGACATAATTTCACCGTCTGAGTGAATACTAACCACGATAACATAAATATTTATATAGCTTCTTTTCTGATCATTATCATCATCTCTGACGTCTTCACAGTAAATAAAACAATTCCACCGATTGACCTATATTCTCATGTCGTTGAATATATGAATATATCTCTAAGGTTATTCTTCACGAAAACAAATAATTGATCCTACACACCAGGTCCAATATATGTAGCTAGTTAGCATGCAATTACATACTTTTCTATAGTTTGGTTTGTAAGGCTTAGTTATGTTTTTACAAGTTGATCACGGATTGATATCATCAGTTAGAGAACCATTGAAAACCAGCTACAGGGAGTACTGACTGGACAGCCAGCAGTTTCATCTCCCCAGTTTGGGAATTATCGGCAATATACACCCCCATCCCACAGGGGATTCGAACCCAGGACCTTCCGGTTACAAGGTCAGATAGCTGGCTTGTATACTATTCAGCCACTGGGACCCGATTCTTCAATGGCCAGCCACTGCATGAATTCTAACTCCCACCAATTCGTGATGCATTTAGCGCGACCCCAACCAATGTCGTTGGTGGGACATCCATCCTCACATGTGACATCTGGATGGACGTCACTGGTCACGACTTCTCACTAGAACTGTTTCAGGAAACCCCATCTTGTAGCAAGTCACTAGCGAGCATCAGATGAATTATCTATAGTTTCGTTTGTTAGGGTAAGTTTCGTTACGAGTTGATCACGGAGACATACACAAAATTCCCTGAATTCCATTAATATATGCTCGCATATAAATATATATATATATATATATATATATATGATTATGAACAATAAATTTTGTTCGAAACGTCACCCAGTAAATAATACTGTTACACTCACTGTGTAATACATCTAATAAACAAACTAATATGGAATATGTATTTTATACCCAAAAATAGTTTTTTTTTCATGTGATTGGCACGTTCAAGGTCATTCACTGATTAGTAGTTACAGGTGCATACTGTCTGTCTGTCTGTCTGTTTTCGACATAGAACTTTGCACAAATGTGCGGAAGTTCAAGTCGCCACACTCCGTGTAGCACGCGAAGCAAGAGAAGAAAGTACAAGAAAAGCATAACAGAAACAGTGAGCAGAGGTGTGAGACAAAGGAGTAATAAAGAAATACAAAACAGTTTCATTGAAGATCATAAGTCACAAGGAGTGGATGCATCTGAGCCACTGAGAACGGTTTTGAGCCATGTCACCAATTGTTTCCAACCATAGATTTTTACAGTCCCGAGGACCCCAGCCTGGAAGTCTACACCTTCCTACGTGGCTTAGACCAACTGTTGTGGATTTCATTGACTGGTACCAAGTTTTTGTTTGATCGCCGCTAGCTTTTTTCCAGCCTGACCCTATATCCGCTAACATTGCTCGTCGAGGGAGGCGATGACTGGCTAGGCATACGTAACACATGTCCTAACCATCTCAGTCTTTGTAGCTTCACGACTTCGTCGATTGATTTCCCCTGTTTACCTAGAACTCTACGCCTAACCTCCATGTTGCTCACCTTATTATGCCACTTTACACGGGAAATAGAACGCAGGCACCTATGATCAAAGACAGCTAGTCTTTTCACGTCTTCCACTCTCAGTGGCCAGGTCTCACAACCAGCCATAGAGGAGGACGGAGCGGACTGATGAGCAGTACACCCGCCCTTTGGTCGATAGTCGAACATCTCGTCTAAGCCAGAGTCGGCGTAAACTAACAAATGCGAAACGAGCCCCTTGTATTCGTGCTGAGATTTCGTCAGAGATCAGCCCGTTGGGGCTGATGGTACTTCCCAAATAAGTGAAGCGGTCAACGTGCTCTACCAACCACTTCACTTCCTATTTTTAAACTAGGCGTCGATGTAGTCCAGTCCTGTAACATCATCTTGCATTTGGCGGGAGCGAATCGCATGCCAAACATTCGTAGATCGCGGCTCAAGGTGTTTAGAAGACTCTGCATTTCGTCAGCGTCTTCACCTAGAAGGACTATATCGTCTGCATATTCCAAGTCAACGAGATTATTCCCCGGTAGCAAGTCAATCCCTGAGTCATACATACACTTTAACTTCACCGTGCTTCTCAAACAGATGAGAGTGAATGAACACCAGATGATGGTCGTTTCCTCGGTTTTTTGGGTTGACCTCATCAGCAGCGTACCACCACCCCATGTGACTCAGCTCCAGATAGCCAAATAGACTTCAAACTACCAGTATAACTGCGTACTTATGAAAGCGTATAGTAAGTTATTACTTCAACCCGTTTTAACCCCCAACCTCGACTCTCCGGAGTACGGAGAGGCAGTACAGGTGGTTTACAACAGGTTATTCTACGGGGAAACACTCCACTTACTGCAGAGCAGTTACATTCCAACGATCACCAGCAGTAGGAATTCGCCCACACACTCCTAACAACCAACATGACGATGGTAATTCCTCTTATTGCCTAACCGCGATTCAAACGACCATTCTAGCATAATGAGACCTGTAAGAACATAAGTTCCCGTTAGCGTAGCCTAGTGGTACTACTGGAGTATGCAAACATGAAAACCACGCGCGTCAAGGCAGCAGCTACCGATCGGGTCATGAAAGTAGGCTCTTGATGTAAATGTTATGTCATAGATATAAAGCACACTTTGAATCGTAGGAATTCAGTTTAGTGACACGACATCATTTAGCCACACACACTACTAGAAAGAATAGCGGGGGTTATGAGTGGAGAAAAGTTATATTTTCAAGTATTGGTTTTTTTAAAGGGATTTCGTTTGATTTCATGGAGGATTTCATCATGAGCTGACACCAGATAGAGAGCCTCTGGAAACCCTGGGAGCACTGGACAGCCGTTTCATCCTGATTTAGAACCCTTCGGCAGAAAGCACACACCGGGGTTCGAACCCAGGACTTTCTGGTTACAAGGTGACTGGGAAGCCGTGACCAGTAGGGTACAGCAGGTCGAAGATGAGGCAGTAAATCATCCAAGAAGACACCGCGAAATGGTCGCGGCATGTCGTGAGTTGGCAGAAGTTAGAATTCAAGGACCATTGGATCGGGTCCCAGTGGCTCAATGGTCTACGAGCTCGCCTTGTAACCAGAAGGTCCTGGGTTCGAACCTCAGTGGGTGAGTACTGTTGAAGAGTCCCGAACCAAGACGAAACAGCTATCCAGTACTCCCAGGTTTTCCAGTGTTTCTCTGATGTCAGATCATGATGATATCCTCCATGCAATAAAAGTTATATTCACAAATATAAATAATTATGAATGAGATAAGAAAGCAACTTACGAACGACTTTCCAGCTTGAAGACATGAACAGTTTCTGTATGACTAGCCGCGATAAGATATTGACTATTCATACTGAATGATAAGCAGCATATAGATACACACCTGAAGAAGAGAAAGAGGAAGAAGTATAACGACAGAAGACAAGGGCCAGGAAACAGATCGTTCATTAAGGAAATCAACACGTATTAATATATTTTCATGTACATTATTATAGCTTATTCAAGCCAACAAACACAGTCTTCTGATTGGATGTTTCTCACAGAAAATTAACCTTGTATCGCTTTGTGACTGTTTTTTGAATGTCAGATCATCTATGTGTTAACTGTATCTGCCTACGCAAAGTCTTCTGTGATCGGTTGTTGAATCAGTCTTGTTCATATTTTCTCACGATCAATATTTGCGACATAAACATTGCCGTAAATTAGTGTCTACCAATTTGGATAGCAGCCTGCTCTCACCACAGAAGGACAAACAGGAAATAATCACATATGGTCGGTAACTGTGGTGTCCTCTGACTGACTCCTAGATAGACTTCATCGACAACCGATAACTGACAACATGAATAACCAGTAAACAGCTAACGACACCCGACTCATGCATACTATGTATCCACGATCATGCCCAGAAATCAAATCCGGACTAGTTGAGTAAATGAGTTTCGCCATAAAACTTTGCAAAGTACAGAAGTTCTAGATGCCACATTCAATTTACCACACAGAGGCAGAAAAAAGAGAGATAAGAAGAAATTCTCAAAAATTACAATAAAATGAAATATACGGGAGAAAGAATATTAACATGTCGAGGACACCAGCAACCAATCAGGAAGTGTACACCTCCCTATACGGCTGGCTCAAACCAACTGTCAGAGAATTCATTGGGTTGATACCATGCTTTGATTTAACCACTCTTAACTCTTTTCTAACTTAATTCTATGTCAGATGATATCGTTTGTTGAGGATGGTGGTCTAGTCAGAATGCGTACACATGCACAAGCCATCTTCATAAATGCATCGATTAACTTACCCTCCCTACCTAACACTCAACGCCTAACCTCAATATGACTCACAATTCATCCTAAGGGAGATAGAACGCAGACACTTTTGATCACATATGGCAAACTGAAATGAGGATGGAAATCTGCTGAACCCAGGGTCAAGAGCAAGATCCAGATTTTCAACACTAATTTAATGTCAAGTCAGCCATTTAGTGCTTCTACTATTATGGTTGAGACAATTGGTAAAAGCGTCACGAAAAGTATTCTTAACAGGCTGTTTTAGTGAGGACTTTCAACAGGACATCTGTTTCATCCTAGTTTAGGACTCTTCATCAGTACACATGCATGACCCAATCGGGGACCAAACCCACGACAGCTGGAGTAGCAGCAACTGACTACAGGATGACACTGCCTGGAGTCCTAGCGAGACCTTGTGACCACCAGGATGCACCAAGCCAGATGTGAGGACAGATGCTTGCCGATGAGACAATGACTGGGTGACAGTGTCAAAAAGTCGTAAATCGACAGAAGTTAGAATTCAGAGGGCATTAGATTCCATCCCAGTGGCTAGAATGCTCCTCTGTCTGTTTTCGACATAGAACTTTGCACATGTGTGCAGCACTTCAAGTCGCCACACTTTCTCAATTTAACACACAAGGCAACAGAAAAAAGTAGAAGAAATGCATAATAGAGAGACAGTAAACAGAGGTGTGAGACAAAGGAATAGTAATAACGAAGATCAATATAGCCTCATTGGAAATTATAAGTCACAAGGAGTGGATGCATCTGTGCCACCATCGAGAACGATTTTGAGCCATACCACCAATTTTGTCCAGTCTTCCTTTACCGTCCAGAGGACCCCAACCAGGAAGTCTACACCTTCTTACTTGGCTGGCTGGCTTAAACCAACTGTTGTGGATTTCATTGACTGATGAAGCCATGTTTTAGTTTGACCACCGCTGGCTAGGTCTTTTCCAGCCTGACTCTATGTCAGCTAACATCACCCATCGGTCGAGGAAGGCGATGACTAAGCACACGATCATCAAGGATGATCAACGAGCTCATCATGTAACCTGAAGGTCACAGGTTCGATCTTGTATGAGTGAAGTCGTCAGTGTGTACTTCTGAAGAGTCTCAAACTAGGACGAAACAGATGTCAAGTACATCCAGGCTTCTATCGGTTCGATAATTAATATTGATCCGTGATCAAATTTGAAATCAATCACACCTCTGCATAAATTAATACATGTAGATTCTACTATTTGTTCCATACTTTTTTCCAATTCGTAAACACAGATCATCTTTCTAACACACTGTTAACTATCCACCATTATAATTATTAGGCTGAGAGATTGGTTCTCAAGGTTATCTACTTACTCATATTGTTCTACTATTATATTGCCCTTCTATCAACATACGATCTTAGTTGTCCTCTGTCCTATATAATCAAGTTCTCTAACCCCTTGTTATGTCTGAGTAGAATCATAAAGCATGTGACTTAGTTATCCAACAGTAATAACAATAATAATTTGCACTTTTATCTGTGGTTAAATGTGTACACGATATTAAAATGAAACATGATTCATGTTATTTAATTGGTGGATGGTGGCTAGCAGTGGAATCCAGGATGCGCATTTCACCAGTCCTATTTGGGACTCGTCTTCTGGATGTACCTGCATTTCTCAGTGAGTGATGATGTTCCCACCGAGGCTCGAACCCAGTGCCCATAGTTTCAAACGCCAAAGCGTTATCCACTAGACCACTTGGGCCACGAAAGCCACCTCTTGTGCAACTAAATACTAACTAAATGCCCAGACATCGTCAAAGCATCTGCACAAGAAGCCGACATGTCAACCTGAGACCGAGCACTTCGGTCCAATCAATCGACGGGAAAATCAAAAATTCAATTCAATGATTCATGTTAGTTATCTTCCCGCATACATTAGTGTGTCTGGGGCTTGTGTATAAAGTACATATTCTGTGTTTTGCCCTTTATCTATTTGAAAATAACAGCGACATCTTATCTTTTAGGAGAATTCAATTTAGACTTTCCCATGTATTCACTGAAACCGAAGTGCTCAACCTCAGTTTGACATGTCGGCTCCCTGTGAGGATGCTTCGACGATGTTTGATTGGTTAATCTGGAGTAAATTGGCGGATAGTGGACTAGCAGTGGAATCCAGGAGGATGAGCATTTCGTCCTATTTGTAACTCGTGAGCTCACCTTTGAAACAATAAGTATTGAGTTCGAGCCTCAGCGGGGACACAACGACTTACTGACTAGGGAATGCAAACGTACGTCCAGATGGTGACTACTCATAAGTAGGACAAATTGAGCAGCCTGATGGATTCCATTGCTGGTCACCAACATCCACCTTAGACAACGAATTCGTTAAGCTATTAAAATTTTAGTCAGAACAAGATGGTTTTGAGCAAACGATTGCGATTTCCCTGAATTCTTTCTCAGGCTCTACCAAAAGAGCTAGATGGAACGTTAAAGCAAAGCATCTGCAAAAAGCGACATGAGACGGATAAAATATCCATTTTAATCGTTCCATACCCGTACAGTATAGGCGGAATTCGATTTATGGTCGTAGTTAGAGAATTAGGCACATATGTACTCAGGATTGTATTGAGGAAGAAATCGATAATCTTAAAAAAATACCCCACCACAAAATGATTATCATACCAATTTTGTAAAGAAGTATATTTTCTATAGTTTGGTTTGTAAGGCTTAGTTATGTTTTTACAAGTTGATCACGGATTGATATCATCAGTTAGAGAACCATTGAAAACCAGCTACAGGGAGTACTGGATAGACAGCTGTTTCATCCCCCTAGTTTGGGAATCATCGCCAGTACGCACCCACTCCACAAGGGGTTCGAACCCAGGACCTTCCGGTTACAAGGCCAGATAGCTGGCTTGTATACCATTCAGCCACTGGGACCCGATTCAATGACCAGTCCATGAATTCTAACTTCTACCAATTCGTGATTTAGTTAGAATTCATGCACTGGCCATTGAATCGGGTCCCAGTGGCTGAATGGTATACGAGCCAGCTTGCCTTGTAACCCGAAGGTCCTGGGGTTTGAACCTTCAGTGCGTACTGCTGTTGATTCCCAAACTAGGATGAAACAGCTGTCTACTACCCCTGTGGCTGGTTTTTAATGGTTCTCTAACTGATGATATCAATCCGTGATCAACTCTTAAAAAGAAGTATATTTCTAAAAGAATTGATAGAATTAAGAGGGATACGGTGGATGTGAAAAAGATTTAATTATGAGTAAAGTTCACGAATGATATATCCAGTGATATATAAAGCCATCGGTTATCCAGACCAGTTGCAAGAACCTCCACCACTGGTGCAGAACTACATATCGGTTTCTTAGCCAGACCGTAATTGACACAGTTCCCCAAAGATGAATTGTATACACACATTAATGTGTGAAGCTTATTATATAGATCGAACTCTTCAGAGGAACTTATCTTTACGCGCTCATGAACATGTTCCAGTTTGGGGCTTGGAAAAAGTGTAATCAAATCAATAAATAGTGTCAATTCGTCTCACCTCCAAAGCCTCAGGATGGTCGGGGGTGGGTGCCTTGCGCTGCGGGTTGGCCACCCCTCCGCACACCTCTTGAAATGCTCCTATATGACCGGGCGTCTTACATAGCCTCTCCTGAGGAAGTCCTACTCACTGCCTTCACGTGGCGGAGGTGTTTCTCACCAAAGTGAGAGGGCGAAAGCGGATGCCTGGCGCTCTCCACCGGGTTGACTGTCCATTGGATGACGGTCTAGGGGAGATGGCTAAACCCTGATTCCAAACCTCCAACGACTGGCGTATGAAGCTCACTGGAGCTCACCGGCAGACGTATGGACAAAGGGCTTGTTGGATGTCCTGGATGTCTGGCCCCATTCAAAAAGGCGTATGAACCGAACTCCGGTCACCGGCTGCCAATGGATAGTGGACTCCTTACTCCACTCCTACTGCCTTGTAGGTCACACTTGGCTGTGTAAAGGCTAGAGCTGCACTCTCAAACAAAAGGCCGAGCGATGCTGGGGACATCACTCGTACCAAATTCCCATGAAACTTCATGAACTCTCTTAC